AGCCCCAAATTCAACAGCCACAGGAATTTGTGAAATTTAAACAAGCGACTCCTGAGGTTCTGAGAGAAGTCTGAACCAAAACAGTTCCAGCCAAGGGTCTCGAGAGCGCGGGGCCGAGCTCGAGGCCTGCAGGGACATGGGTCCCCACTCCTCAAAGGGCTCCGAGAAGCTCCCCGCATCACACCCGCAAGTGCCCCAGAGAAGCCGGGAGGCGCCAAGGGCCGAACCCCACGGTGGACACACGCATCCGGGTTATGGCACAGGCGTGAGGATGGCACGCGTGGGGCATCACCCCTGGGCCCTGCGCAGGGCACCCACTTCCCCACAGTCACAGGAGCTGCGGGGCAGGCGGGGCGGATGGGGGTCCTGGGGAGAGACCACGTGGGGGCCACGGGGCAGCTTCACCCTGGCCCCTCCCGTGGCAGGCCTTGGCTCACACACCCCCGTTCACGGACACCGCGTGGTCCCTCACCCGCTCTGCAGTGCGAACCTTCCTAGCTCCTGGAGGTCACGTCCGTTCTAACCCACAACCAAACCCCGGCTCCCGACAAACGTGACGCTTCCGGTCTCCTGGGGCGGAGTGGGCACGGTCCACACAGGCTCCGCGTGTGCAGACACCACCGTGCCGACACGCACACGCCACACGTGGCACCACACGTGACACCACAGCACGCACAGAAGCGTGCACCGCACAGCGCAGCCCGCAGGCACACGGGCTTCTAGACTTCCCTCCTCGGCCTTCCTTGGGCTCTTCCCTGGGCTGGAGCTGCGTCCCCACCCCCGCTCGCAGCCCTTTCTTGCCTTCTGCACCTGTTAACGCCCCCGTCCGGTCTGGGCCGGGCCCTCACCGACTCCTTCTGTAAATGCCATTAACGAGCCCCTCGCCTCGGCCTGCAGGAAGCGAACACCGTCCTCCCCTACTGCGCAGACGTGGCCGTGGGCTCGGGCAGGGCCTGGGTCCCCTTTCAGCCCCGGCGGGGGCCCTGGCGTTTGTTTTGGGTCATGCCTAAGGGTTCTAGCAAGACGTGTGGGTGCCTCGATGCTCCTGGACAGCGCAGCCACCGCTACACGTCCAGCGCAAGAAGGGCCAACCTGTAGGAGCTACATGTGGGCGCCGCTATCCCGGACGACAGAGGCAGGAGGCAGGGGCTGGAACCACCGTCCCTCCACGTCCTGCCTGTCCCCCTGCGCTCCCTAGAACACAGAGTCCTGGGTGCCCCCACCTGGGCACACGTGACCCTCTGAACCCCGTCACCCGACACAGGTCCTCACAGCTCCCCAGTCACTGTTTTGCTCTCCCACTTGGGGTGCGCCGAGGTTATGCCTACCTCCCTGGTTGCCACGGCAGCAATGGAACCCACGAAGGTGCCTCACAAAGCTAGGGCTGGCCTCCCAGAGCCCCGCTGCCTGCTGGGGGGAGGGGAGGGGTGCAGAGAAGGCACGGGGGCCCCTGACAGGCCAGGCCACCAGCCAGGAGTCCATCTACACAGTCCCAAGCCCTGACTACACTGCCACCCACGGCAGGCCCTCGGTAGCCAGCGGAAGGCTCCTGGCCCCCCAACCTCCTGCTTCAGCGGCCGGGCCATCGATCTCACAGGTCCTCAAGACACCTGACCTGTTGGCCTGTCTGCTCCGGGGACCCGGGCCGGCACACTCCATCCAGGTCGGGAGGGATGGCAGCATCCGGAGTCTGCCCCTCAGTGGCCAGAGGACCAGAGTGGGAGACGAGGAGGGGGTGAGGGGCACGTGGACAGGGTGCCGGAGGGGGTCTCTCCCGAGGATGGCTCAGCACCCCCTTCCCTGCCCCTCCCTCAGGGTCTCAACGGTTCAGCGCAGGAGATCTCCAGGCCCATTTAGGTCCAAGGACCCCCACGTGGCCTTCTCAGATCCCGATACCCTCCTTGGTTGGGGGAACAGCAGAGGCTCCCCTGTCCCCAGAATCACATGCGTCCCTGGGGAAGCCAGCCCAGCCGGACGGGCTGAGCCGCCTCCCAAGCGCACCGTGTGTGGCACCTGTGGTGGCCGGGGATGTGCCTCCCATGGGGCAGCTGGGCCAGGCCCAAGAGAAACCAGTGGGCAGGAGCTCGGGGCCGGTTTGGAGGGAAGCTTGGCCACGTAACATGCAGCCAGGAGAGCCCTCCCAGGGAGCCTGAGGACCTCTCTGCGGGGCAGGGAGCTGGGCCACGAGGCTGAAGCCAAGGCTACTTCTGGTCTGGGTCTGCTCACCTGTTCCTCCAGCCCAACACGTCCCAGGAGATCTCAAGAACCAAAGCCTCCATTGGGGGTGACAGGACCCTGGTCCTGGCAGCCTTGTCTGACCACAGGAGCACCGGAGGAGATGGGGCCTGACACGGGGGCCCCGTGGAGTGAGGGGGCCAGAGGCCGGGAGCCAGCAGTGAGAAGTGTGTCAGCAACGAGGCTGCAGGTCCTGCTCCTGGTGCGCCGCTCAGGCCGCGAGGTACGGTCTTACACCTCGGAGAGCTTTTCGGGAAACGATGATGAGCGGACTCTCTGCCTCCCGCCCAGAACTCGCTTCTCCAGACACCCCTGTGTACAGGCTGCCCCGTGGCGGGGGCCTGTGTGCGCCCCCCCAGCTCAGCAGACCCTGAACCAGGCCGCTGCGGGGCGGGGCTGGGAGGTGCTAGCCCAGGGCACCCCAAGACTACAGGCAGCGGGGGCCTCCTGGTCAACCCAGGGCCGTGACCACCGCAGCCACTCACATCTCTGAGAAACGACCTTCCCTCAGAGACCCCGCTGCTCCGTGAAAATAACTTCAGAACCTGCAAACGTCAGCACCTGTTCGCCACAAAAACACCGAGAAGACAAAACCAGAGCCTGCAGAGCCCCAGCCCCCTGCCCAGGGCAACCAGGACCTGCCCCACGCACAGCGGTGTGTCCGGAAAGACAGGACACGTGTGCCACGGGGCTTCCCGAAGCCCGTGATCCCACGTGCACACGCCAGAGACGCCGCCTCCTGGAAGGCCAAGCCCGCGAGCGAGGCAGAGTGCAGGACAGGTGGGCGCAGGCGCTCACACGCGCTGACACACGCACACACGTGCTCACGCGCACACACACGCACTGACACACGTGCTCACGCGCACACGCTGACATAAACATGCAGACGCACACGCACATGCAGACATAAACGTGCGCACGTGCTCCCGCGCACACGCACGCACTGACATAAACGTGCTCACACGCGCACGCTGACATAAACATGCAGACGCACACGCACATGCAGACATAAACGTGCGCACGTGCTCCCGCGCACGCACACGCACTGACACAAACGTGCTCACGCGCACACGCACGGACATAAACGTGCCTGCTCGTG